ATAATTCTAAAAGCATTGCCTATTGTATGAATAAATAACAATTTTTGTGTGTTGTTATTGATTCTCATTTTAAACAATAATTATTTGATAACAACTGAATACTATGCTCTAATGTTGAATAAAATTCTAAACTAGGCAACATAAAAACTGTTACCTATAAAATTTCTTTTATTGCATCATTTACAAATTGTCTCTTAATTACTTTAATAGGCAACAAAAAATGAATATTACCTTTAAATGTTCACTTTCGCAATAATTAAGAATTGTTGCCTATTGTTTATCAATATAAAAAAAATTCACTTTCATTTCTTATTCAATTTTAACATATTTTTTATTACTTTATTTATTATTTAATTAATTTAATATTTTATTTATTAAAGTAATTTAAAAGTTACTGTAAAAATTATCTTTGTATATAATATTTTGTAATTGATAACATAACAGTAATGTTAGAAGAGTAGTTAAAAGTTACACTCTTATCAAAGAAGTTCAAGGTTTGAATTTTAGGTAGGAGAAGAAATATTAAATTTTGTTTATTTTAAATTTATGCAACAATTTTAATTATTGCCTATTTTTATATAAAGATAACAATTTGAAACTATTGTAATAGGTTAATGTAAATTTTTTTGCCTATTGTCATGCTCTGAAGCAATATTTTGCTAAGTTGCTAAGTGTTATTCAAAATTTAAAAAAATATTGACTTAAACAATAGATAGCGTTGGATTGTGTAACGGTTGAAAAATAATGTCTGAAGTTAAAAGCAACCGTTTTTATAGTTTGTTATAAAGTAAAAATGTTGTAGTGGGGTATTAATGTGAAAGGAAAAAAATCTAATTATGGAGGGAGCCATGACAATATGTAGAGGATAACTGGGGCATGATAATAAAATTAAAAAGAAGTGGGATGCCAGGAAAAGATTACTCTGTTTCTATTTATTAAAAAATTATCACATTTTATTTATTTTTTTATACAAGAAAAATTATATATTTCAATAAGTATTTATTACACATATCTAAATCATCCCTCATAATTTATATTGATGAGAAATAATTAATACATGATTATGTTTATTAAATATGATATTTTAATTTATTTTTTTATTTTCAAATATGATTATTATAATTAATTATTTTTTTAAATTATATGATATAGTTTTTTTATATATAAAAATGAAAGGAATACCTGAGTGTTAGAAATTTATTGGCTGGGATTTTTGAATATGGCATAGACCTTATGGATGAGCGAATGAATGTGAGGAATAACAGTCCTTCGTCTCTCTATCAATTTTGTTTGGCACCCCCACCATTCTTTGCATTTAACAGCCAGCCGCCTTCCCAGCTTCTACTTTCTTTATTTGTTTATCTTTCCTTCCTAGTATTTAAAGCTCAACTATTAATTGGTTTCATATACTGTAGAATAAAACTTAATATTTTTTCACCAAAAAAACAATTCTTAACAGGGTGTGATTTCGAGACATAATTATAATCGTTTACTTATTATATTTATTATATTAGTTTTATTTATAAATTATTTTTAACATGTTTTGTCACGCTAGTAAGAATATTAGAACTTAATAATTTTATTAAAAATGTAATAATTTTTTACTTTATTCTTATTAAATATACATATTTTAATAATTTAATAACATACTTTCCTCTGTCAATATCTAATAAAGATAAAGAGAAAAATTTATAATGAAAATTTAACAATATAACTTATTAATATGATAAAAAAAAATTATCTTTTTGTTTCATAAATAAAACTGGAGGTGACATTCCACATAATAGATATGTTTAATTCTTAACTATATTTGCACCAAAATATTATAAAATCCAACGTGTAAATTTAAATATAAAATTCCAGTAAACCTAATTTTACAAGCTATCAATGAGCTTGATGGACGAGGGCGCATGTGGTTTTAGACCATCAAGGCGTCATCAAAATCTTATTCATAACGTATATAATTATTATGAGTTTTTTTTCGGTTAACTACTAATGTCATCAATCTTAATTATATCTTTATATTAAATATTAACATTCACATACTACTCATATGTATGAGATAAAGCGGGAGTACGTACTTTGTTAACAACAATTATCATCTCTCTTGGTCGAATTAATTTTACTTGATTTATTAGAATTATTATTATATTACAAAATTTTAATATATAATTTTTATAGCATTACAAAATTAGAAAAACTGATATGAAAATAGATGCATGTGACAAAAATGGGCTGGAAGGAGTCATTGCTCATTAGACACGGTAGGCTTGATATGAAAATGAAACTTGCTGCAAATGCGACGGACGTGGGGGGCGCGACAGCGATTAGTTTGAGAACGAGGGCAAGGACGTCAATTTAGGGAGCTTGAGTTGGATTGACTCGGACATGACGGAGTTTCGTAGGCCATGCATGCACGATTCCTTGCCTAAACTGCGTAACTGAATGAAGTGTAAAAATCCAAAGCATAATAATTGGCCACCATATGCCATATCATACGCACCCTACCATACTATGCTCAATAAATTCACTTGGTAATTATGCAATTCTTGGAAAATATTGTCGAGCGCCATTTACACGTCCTTGTTATTGCCGCACCAATCATAGGCCTACTCTAGGAAACGCACTGGCAGTGGTAATTAATGAGCTTGAGCTTGTGGTTAGTGAACTGAACTCCTTCGGCACACTTGGAGAAAAGTCCCCCAGTCAAATCTAATTCAAAACAATTTACTTTTAATTTGTCTTAACACCTTCGAAGCATATAGATCCGTTATAATATTAATTTTAATTGAGAAAATAAAAAAGGGAAAGAAAGAGTGGGAAGAGGAAGGCATGTGGAGGAGTGGCGTGCCAGCTCACGACTCACCCTTCTTTGTTATTCATACAAAACTTGCTTATCAATGACCCCTTCCTTTTTGTCCCCCAACTTCAAATTATCAAAATAAAAATATTTTTAATTCTTTTTTATTTAAATGTGAACTTCAAATTAAACTTATAATTTTGAATATAATATACAAAGGGACGGCATGCATGATTTAGTGTTGACCGGAATAACGGCCCCCGCCATCCATTGTTCCCCCTCTTCCGCCGTTTGCGTCATCTCTGCAACTCCTAAACCACCTCCACTGCATTCCATCGTCATACTTTTATTATTATTTTTTTTAAAGAATACTTTCTCTATCTCTCTTATGTAATCGTCAACATACTAACATATTTAACCATCAAGATGCATGATTATTTGGAAAAACTACAAATAAAGACTTCCGAACATCACAAATAACCAATTAAAACTGAAAATTAATTGAATTAAAAATTTAGCTAAGGGAATTATGAAATCATTTTATTTGAGTTGGACAAGGTTTTCACCCTCAGATTTATAGGAGTAACTGACCAACTTAAAATTTGCTAACGTTGAAGTAGAAGTGGGTTAGTCTGTGTTATCTTTATTTCTATGTTTTGGTCTTCTTATTTCTTTATGATTCTCCAGACACAATGGTGTCCTCCTTGGCTCCTTGTACTGGGGAGGGAAAAATGGATACTCGAATTGTTCATGCAAATGCATCGGAAGTTTGGTTGATTGTCTAATTGGGCCTCAATGTTTAGACCCAAATAGTTGCTATTCCCTGATTGACCACCATTGTAATGTCTTCATGTTTACCCATCCAAAAACTCGGACAATTCTAATGACCCAAGAAATGGACAAATCTCGTACAGCACTGATCACAGAACCCGCATCGTCTGCTTCCCCAAACCAAGTTATCTGAGGCCAAATTCTAGGATTTCTGAGCAAAATTATTGGTATCTGTTAGGAGGCTTCCCTTATGGATAAATGTTACAAGTGTTGCTCTTTCCAATATGCCCTCTTCCCTTGTTGGGTCATGCATGTTCTTTGCAGGATGCTCCTCCTTCTATCATCACATGATCTCTCTGTGCGCTTTGGGGTACAGATTCTGTGTTTCCTCAAAAGATAATCTCTTCTGTCAATCTTCTCTTCAAGGATTTGGTTATATTTTGGAAAAAGGTGGTTCATTAAAATTTTCGAATTACAAGTAATGATTGTCTGAATTCTTGTGAATCTGAATGTTAAGTGATAGTTCCACAACTCAGTATGTAAATATGTTTTATCCATGATTGATATGCGCGTGTTTGTATGTGTGGTGAATACATGTATGTAGATGTATTTCATTGAATTATAGTTGATAAGTACGCCAAATGATGCATAGATACACAACACCTCTAAGAGCAATAATTGAGAGTTGAGACTTGTGGCTTGTTCGGTAAAGATGTTGCTTACGTGGAAAACCAATTCTCAATTCACTATCAAACATGACCTTAAACTTAAAGAGAGCGATATAAGTTTGAAATCAAGCCAGACTTTTGTTTGAACAACAATAGTTAAGGTTCTGAAACTTTTTATAAATCTCATTCTAATTAAAAATATAGACAATCTCAATGATTGAAAATCTGAAATTTTAGCTACTATTTCCCAAATCAATTATAGAAATTACTCCCCCCTTTTTCCTTGTAAAAATCAGAGCGTATATAATGCAAGCAAATGGAGAAAAAATGAAATAGGTTTACCAAACTAATAATAATAATAATAAGTACCGTTCTTGTCAATTGTCATGTATTTAATTAGTCATTTTTAAACTTCAGTGGTATCAACTTCTGCCATGATGCCGTCCCCAGGATCATATCCTCAAGTTGGGATTGTGATCAACAAAAGCTTTCTATAAATTAATTTGGATTCAGTGACTTCACATTTTACAATGAAAAACTGAAGATATAGTTATGCCATAGACATATAATTCATATACTTTATTGTATTATAATATATAATTACATCACAGATATACAGCACTGCTTAGTGTAAGAATTGAATGTGTGTGTATTTGTCATAGACATTACTATTTTTTTAATGTACTATAATTGATAAGTGCGTTCAAATGGTGCATGGATAGACAACACCATTCATTGAGAGTAGAAATCGAAATTTGAAATCAAGCAGTAGGGTAAGAAGCTTGCATTGCTATGCCACAAAGGCCTTCCTTAGCATTCACATTTCTTTGCATCCTGATGTATCCTTCTTCACCCCACTCTGTACCCCATGAGTTTTTCACTAGCCAATACTCAGTGTCATCGGTGACACCATAACCAACAGCAGTAACACCATGATCCAGCTCAGTGCCACAAGAACCTGTGAAAATGCCACTTGAGTAAAATTGAAAATCAGATCCACTTGCATCTATGGCCACTGAAACCGGTTGGTTCGCCACGGCTTTTTGTATTGCCTGCTCATTATTGGCAGGAACATCCTCATACCCCTTAATTGTAGCCGCATGATTGGCTTCACCATTGGCATTGCAGGTTCCATCAACACCCTTATAAGGGTAGTTGGCCTCTGAGTTTAGACCATGGTTTTGCATGATAAATTTGAAGGCATCATCCATTAGACCTCCCTCACAACCTTGGTCCACACCCTTTGTGTCGCAATCAACTAGCTCTTGCTCTGATAAAGAGATCAGTTTGCCCGTGCTCAACTTGGTGATTCCTTCTGTCGCTGCCACAGCAGAAAATGCCCAACAACATCCTACAATGTGTAAAAGCAAAACAAAGTTAGATGGAACTTTAATCTTTTAAGGAATTATGATATGGTACTTACCACAATCCCCTTGATTCTTGATGGGTGTCACTGCACCTTGGTTTCTCCAATCCACAGAGGAAGGCACATCAGTCGCATTTTCATACTTGAAAGAGGGTGTCCTTTTGATTGAGGAGCACATATGACCCTTGAATCTATTCCTAGAAACAGTGAATTCTTCATTGGTGAGATCTGCAAACCGATTGATTCCTAGTTTGTAAGGTTTGGTTCCAGCATTGTTGAAGCCTTCAATGTACTCCACATTTTGCTTGAATATGTTCAAACGCTTCTCCTTCTCCTGAGAGTCTCTATACACTTTGCCATGGCGAGCCATCCATTGTTCATGCCTCTCCTGCATTGAGGCCTCTTGGAGAGTGCGAGATGTGGCTTGAAGTGCCAACATTCCCAGCAAAAGAAAAGCCAATGAAAGGTGCTGAGATTGAATTCTGAAAGCCATGTTACTGTGAACTGCTTCAAAAGGCTCTTTGCTCTTGATGACTGACGTTGTGATGGACTCCTTTGTTCTTGAGGTATATATATATCAAAATTTATGATGACCCATAAACCGATCATGTTCTGAAATTTCATCACTAAAGAATTTTTTAAGAAATAACCTTTCTCTTCGAAGCACCTGAAAAAATGTTATGACTGAGATAGCAGGGTAAAGTGTCAAAATGGAGGTCTTTGAGAAATCTCTTTTGAAATATAAAAAGCAAGATGATTTAAAATAATTCCCAGCATAACTAAACCAAAAGGGAATTCGTGGCTTAACACTTATAGCTAAGGGCCAAGATTAACTTCAAGCCATTCTACGGAGACTGATAGTAAAGAAAATAGTAGATACAGAACATGGTATTCGGAAATGTACACGTTACGTATGGAAGACTAAATTACGTGCACCAGATATTCGTATTGTTAGATGTTTCTCTTGTCCTTGTGCTCTTGTATGGAACGGAAAGTCGTCCTCTAACTACGTTATTATAAAAGTAAAGAACTTGAATGGTTGCTATCAGGTTACTTGAAACACATCGATCATCTTTCGCAATCCGTGTTGTGCGTGACTATATTGAGATCTGCACTTAATTTGGTTATCATATTCAAACTGCTTAATTCATACATATATATATATATATGGCCATTTTTAAATTGTTGGTAATTAATTTTGAAATCTGCACTATAAGAAAATAGATTTTGGTAGGCTTGTTTTTTTTTTTAAATAATAGTGCCTTTGAAGCCCTATCATTGATATTGCTACTAATGGTGGCACTTATTATTATTATTTTTTGGGTGAGATTATTTTTGTTCTTCTTCTTCAAGCTAGGAGTTTCTATCAGCTGAAGTGTTTCTTAAAATTGGATAATAATAATTACCTTACATCTTCTATACATTAGTAAAAGAACCCAAATTACTTTTTGTAAGTATGGAACATATATAGCTATGTTGGCCGAAAAAACAAAAAAGAAATATAGCTTCCAATTATCTTCATCACGTAGAAAATTACTTCCATGAACTGGGTACAGTTTGTCAATGTTATTTTGAAATCTACCGGATATCTTTTCCTCATTTGATAAGAAAAACACATCTCGAGGACACAATCGCTTTGAAAGATTAATTGTTATCACCTAAAAAGAAGTTGATACAAGGAACGAATGAGAAACAAAATTGCTTGTTGTATAATTTCTTTTGTTATTATGCCAAATGAGGGATTGCATTTTCATTATCATTGCGTTATTTTGATTTGTGATTAGAGAAAAAGAAAAATGTGTTTTTATCTTGAACGAGTTTGAAATATTAATAAGCTGTTTTATATGAAATGAATTGTAACTTTAAAGTCTACTCACAAGTTAAATACATCATATATTTACAAATAAAAGTTGATAGATATAGTGAACTAAAGATTTAAGGTGTTTGGAATATATGTTTTTGTGATGGATGGGATAAGAGACAATGATTAAAAAGTATTTTATTAAAATTAAAAATGTAAAAAAATTGCAGAAAAACAAATGAATAAAATATGCTAAAGAATATCAGAAGAATAAAAAAAAATATGAAATCTAAGAATAACTGTACTATTTATAATTAATAATACATCTCTTTATAAATTTTTATTTGGTATTGACATTGATTTAATATTTATTTTTTTCCTTTAGAGAAGGCAAAAATGGTCAATAATTATTTTAGTTTTAGGCTTCTAGACAACATCCTTGTTGTAAAACGAATATATTGGTTCTTATAGTTCCTTTTTTTTCCACCGTCAGTTTTAGTAGTTCAATTTACGTACTAATAGAGATAAGAGATTGATTTTTCATTTACGTAAGAGGTATATCAATATATTGAGCACTAAATTTGAAGACCAATTGACCTTTTGTTTTTCATAGAAGCTACATACGCTTTATACGTTCTCGTCTTAATCACAGCATTTTTTCATGTACGTTAAGAGAAACCTGCTGTGTGTTTTGTGTTATACATTATAAGATGCACGCTTGCAACATTATTGTGCTCTATGTGTGTGTGTATCTCTCAAGCAAGCAAAGTAGAAGCATCAAATTAAACACCGTGTATTGTATTTCAACTAGCATTGCAATTGATCATGTCCATGACTTAAAGAAATCAACTCTGCTGCATGACGTTGATTTTGATCTTCATGTTGGGATTGTGGACAAATCAAGCCACATCTCGCAGTCTGCAAGATGCTTCAATGTATGAGAGGTACAAGCAATGAATGGCTGAATATGGTAAAGTGAACAAGGACTCCAATGAGAAGGAGATGCGTTACAAGATATTCAAGCAGAATGTAGAAAGAATCGAAGCCTTTAACAATGTAGGGAATCAACCTTACAAGCTTGGGATCAATCAATTTGCAGATCTCACAAATGAAGAGTTCAAAGCATCCAGAAACAGATTCAAGAGCCACGTGTACTCCTCAACCACCAAAACTACAACATTTCAGTATGACAACGTGACTATGGTTCCACCCTTTCCGAATTGGAGGCCGGAAGGAGCTGTAACTCCCATCGAGGACCAAGGATTTTGTGGTAAATCCTTAATAACTGTTTGAATTTCACTTCATACAACTCCTACTACTCCAACAGTTCTATTTCTTGACCGACTTTGTTTTATATTTGAACTCTAGGATGTTGCTGGGCTTTTTCTGCAGTAGCAGCAATGGAAGGAATTACCAAGCTGAGTACAGGAAAGTTGATATCTTTATCAGAACAAGAACTAGTTGATTGTGACACAAAAGGTGTGGACCAAGGTTGTGAAGGATGTCTAATGGACGATGCATTCAAGTTCATCATAAAAAACCATGGCCTCACAGCAGAAGACAACTACCCCTATATCGGTACTAACACAAAAGAAGAAGCCAACCATGCAGCTAGCATTAAAGGTTATGAGGATATGCCTGAAAATAGTGAGGAGGCACTACTCAAAGCTATGGCCAATCAACCAATTTCTGTAGCTATTGATGCTGGTGGTCTGGCATTTCAATTTTATACAAGTGGTGTCTTCACTGGAGCATGTGATACCAACTTGGATCATGGTGTCACTATTGTAGGTTATCGAGTGAGTGATGATGGGCTCAAATATTGGTTGGTGAAAAATTCATGGGGCAAACAATGGGGTAAACAAGGCTACATAAAGATGCAGAGGGGTGTGGCTACTAAGGAAGGCTTTTGTGGTATGGCTATGGAAGCTTCTTATCCCATTGAATAATACCCCCTCCGTTTCAAATTATAGGGTACTTTTTAAATAATTTATCTATTTTAAAATACAAGACACTTTGAGTATATTAAGATTTCATTAAATGTTTCAATTTCAATATTATCCTTTCTCTCTCTATAATTAATTTCCATCACTTTTTTTTTCATTATATTGAATTATGGGTATTTTGAAAAGTTTATATTTTTGTTTTGGAAAAATAAGGTTATTAAGTGTATTTAATGAAATTTATTGATATGCAAAATTTTGTCTAAAATTATTTTATAATTTGGGATGGAGGGAGTACATATTGTTAATCATGGATGCTTAAATTAAGGACAGACAAACAGACACACACACTTATTTCGGTTATTATACCCAGTGTGAATGATTATACATCAACTGGTGCAATGTATAATTGTCAAAAATTGTAAAAAAGAATTGAAGATCACTCATGGTTATGACTTATGAGTTGTGACGCTTATATTTGGATCAAGTTCCCTATTTCTCTGCGTTGAGCTTGTGAACTGATACTTTTAGTTTCATTCATTAAAAGATTTATTGGAAGGGTAAAATTAAGAATACATTGCTGGTTTGATGTTAATTGCAACATTATATTAACCACCTTACTGACACATTTTAAAATTCATTTTACATGGATTGGAACTTTAAGTGCATGTCCCTTTTTCTTGCCCGACATTTCATAATTGCAATGAAAAGAACAGCTCAGAGTAAAATTTTATCATATTTAGGCTACGGTCATGAACCTTAAAAGGCAATCTTCCTTTAGCCAACAATCTCTTCCGAAAACATAGTACATGGATTTTTCTAAGTTGGAGACATGCATGTACTGTATGTTTACTAATTGGCTAGAGAGAGCGCTAAAATGTTTAGTTGACAGAAAAGGATTGATAATGCTTTAATCTTGACAAGTGTATTTGTCAGTTACAAGACAGTGAGAAATTAATCTTGGCTGAGATATGGCCATTTCCAGTTTCTTCTTGTTGATGAATTGCCTTTCAAACTAGCCATTCAGAGAAGTGGAACACATCCGTGTTGAGACCTTTCTGCAATGACACTGGCGATAAGTAGAATAATTGGGATTACGAAATTAGCGTAGAAGCAATCATACATTCATCAAGAGTTCACTAATTAATTAAATAGTTAATTATTAATTAATAACAAAATTATCATTTCCAATCAATTCGCGCGCGCGTGTATTTTTCCGACCCATCAATTGGTATCCTGAGACTGTCAAAACTACAAATTAAAGCTTCTACCCATTAGAATTGCATAAAACAAATAGCACGAAATTATAAACAGTTAATCAAGATCCAATCGATTGAGCCTAGTATTAAAAATAAATTTATTTATTAAAAAATTAATAATTATAAATTAATACTAATAATGACAATTAATTTAAATTGATTCAATAACTAAGATATGAAAAAAATTCAGTGAACCTTTGACGTTGAAGAGATCGGCCCTCTTATCTCGCGCCTCACTTGTTAACACCTAAAAATACAAGAAGCCGCGAAAGTCTCAACTATTGTACTTTGCACGAGATTCCATAATATTTGCCACGGTTTATTAAGACAAAACTCAAGACAGAATAATAAGCATAAGCACCAATCCTCGTTACCAAAAACATAAGTCAAAAGTGACAATATATCCTCCACATCAGCACTAAACTAGAAGACAATACCACATGCAGGACAGCTACTCTTCTAAGCTCAATATCTCGTTACCGAAAGGTTTGGCCAGGGAAAAGCTGCAGGTGCTTGAAGTTCTAATTGCTGGACTGGCGCAGCTCGGGACGAACAAAGTCAGCATTTGGTGGCACGGAAATGTCTACTGTGGGTCTGAGTTCAGCACAGACCTCAATTGCTCCATGCACCGGGTCTGACAGGAAGTTGCTGATTAGGTCCTGGTTCACCGGTGTAGCATTGTCAACTGCAACCAAGGCTTGCTGGGTGAGGACGTAATCGAATCGTGGGGCCCATTTCCTCGAACCCAATCTTGCTGTGGTGGAGCAATTATCAACCATGAAAGAAACACCTCGAGCATGCATGAAAGGATTTAGAGAGTCAACAGCCTCAATGACACTCTCATTGATGATTTCTGAGTAGGAATGGCCTTTCTTCCTCAGGACCTCAATCTGAATTATGTAATCATAAATTAATACAGAAAGACAGCGGTTTCATATTGGACAGCAAAGATAGACAGGGGGAAAAAGAATTCTGAAGACAAAGATAACCACCTAAATGCTCCTCTCTCACGACTAAACACTTAAAAAAGTGCATTATCTGTCAGAAATAGTTGGATCACTTCCACATTTGAAATCGAAGTTAGACCAGTCAAAGTTAAAGGGAGGCACAGTATGTTCATCCCAAGACCCAACAGACTAGCAAGAAAAAATGACAACAACGCAATAGTTACAATGGTGAAGTACAAATACCTGGGCCATCATTAATGCCACAAAAACACCAGCAGTAAATGGATAGAGGGGGCCAAGATCACCTTCTGGCCTTGTAGATCGTACACGTTCACCAACCTTCCACATGCGGGTCTGATCAATTTTACCCATGGGGAAAGCAGGTAGACCCTCTTTCTCCTATAAAACCAAAGTAAAATTAAAATCAGCTTCCTGGATATCCAATAATCCACTAGAAAATGAATGTGCCCTTACATAAAACCGGCGTCCAGCCAAAACAACACTGCGAATTTCACTGCCACTGGCTACATCCTCATAGCATTCATACAAGATGTCCATGCAGGGATAGTATGAGGCACTGTAAGCTTTCTCGAATTCCCTTTTTCCATCTTCCGTTAAAGAGTCGTAAACAGTCAACATCCCCTGTCCATTAAAACAATGAAGAAAATGTCAGGGTCTGAGGCACCCCAAAGCATGAACATGCATAGTGGGATCATATAGAAACACATCCAACTCCAAAAGATAAGCATGAGAATACAACCTTAGTTGAGATGGTTTTCGATACAATTCCTGTTATGCACTCAACAGTGTTCTTGTAAGCAAGATCTTCACTCATTCCATGCTCAGTATATCTCCTGAACAAGCACTCCACAACCCCATGAACAGCACCCAATAAAATTCCTGAGAAAAAAAATAGTTAGGACTTGCATTTTTGGGGATAAGTAAATGCAAAAAGAATTCTTACCCCTCTCTCCAAAGATATCACTCTTGTATTCTTGCTCTAGTGTGGTGGCAAATGTGAAAGGAGAACCAAGGGCAACAGACCATCCTAAAGCAACATCAGTAGCTCTGCCATCAACATCCTGCATTCTTAGAGAGTTAACACTGGCAACAAAAAGCAAGTAACAACATAACTATGGGAGTGGGGTGGACCCACAAGGAGGGAAGAAGAATTCAAAAAAGTGAGATCACCTGGTGAACTGCAAAACTTGAATTAATTCCAGCACCATTTATCTCTTTGCCTTGGACGTAAAGTCTCCTAACTGATGGACCCATTCCCTTAGGACAGACAGCAATAACACTGATATTCTTTGGAAAATCAAGTCCCATTGACTGTAAATGCCCCAGAAGAAATCCATGAGACAGCCCAAGTATGCTGTTTGGCTTCATGTGGGAAAATACTTTTTCATAGTTATCCGCCTGCAAGATAAGTTTTTTAAAAAAAAAAATTATTGTCCAGGGTAGGGAGGCGAGACACAAAATATTAGGAATATTGCAAATTCCCCAGCAGTTTTATGACATATATTTGTCCACAAATCAACACGCTATAGTCCCAATGATATCTTTAGAGAAATTCAAATATTGTACAATCCTTGGCAAGAATATAAGAATATTGTTGAGAAAATGTTACACCACATCAACATGTTAAACCTGACAATATTTTAAAATCCAACGAAAAACTTTTGTGATTAGTATCCTGTTGAACTGCAAAATGTAAAAAGTCTTATGCGCAGAACCTACAACAAATGCTATCATATAGCATAGTTGAGAAGTTCAAATGTCATTCATGTATGATAAGCTTCAACTGGTTAGAAGATGCGTGGGTGTGAACAAAAGATAGAGGACAACAATAAACAACTTTAACAACAAAGTTATGTACATGAAATAACATTCAACAAAAGATCAATGTAAGCAATACAATAATGTTCCGAAAGCCTTCGAAGCATGATATTTGACTTCAACTTACACACCTGGGCGGCATCAGAAATCAACAGCAACACAAGATCGCTGCCAGAGACAGTTTCCCATATGTCACCTAGAGTCCCATTCTCCTCAGTAAAACCAGCTGCTCGAGCTTCAGCAAATGATCGGGAACCTTTCCGGAGCCCAATCTGTATTTGTAAAAAGGTAGAAGAAGTTGGATTTGAAAAGAGATCAGTCATCTACTAAATATAAATTGTTTCAAAAGCAAGCAAGATCAACAAAGATGACAACCAATGTAACAATACTGGTACATGATAATTAACCCAAAAGAAAAAAGAAAAAGAAAAAAATGAAATCCAGAATCACCTTGACTACAATATCAGACTTTGCTTCAGCAAGTGAATCCCGCAGATTCTGGGCCTGAGCAGGTCCCTGGTATTTGTAATGCAGAGTTAATAAACACATCAAAATCATGAACTGCGTGATTATACGGAAGATATCTTTTCAGCAACAGTTAAAAACGAAGAAGTCATAATGTCCTCAAGCATATGTATTAACTTATGCGTCTACATATATATTATCGTAGCATATTAATCTAGATGAAGCCTCCAGCAGTCACTCTGTTACTCTAACCTAGCTTTCCTTTCAAAAAGACAAGCAGCACACTTCACAATGCATCATTTGCACGCGGTGCAGCTCAGCAGTTAGACAATTGTCCATTGGCACGAGAGCTAACAACGTTAATGTGCTCTGCACATTTACAACCATAAATTGGCACGTTTGGTTGTCGTATATAACAGGACTTTGTTCCCTAGTTAGATTTCATTTTCTCAGCAATAAAATGACCAGGTGTATCTTTTCAATTCGACGACTTCGATCAGCTAACAAACATTACATAAAGCTGAGGGAGAAACAAATAATAATTTCAATTCAAAAGTGTGTTCATTCAATAACAGCACGAGAGTAATCACCTGCGATCCCCATCCGATGACACCGATCTGCTTAATGCCCTTAAAAGCATCTGGCAACAAATGGAACAAATCCCTCCCTCCTCTGACGATGTACTGCAATAATACAGAGCACCCAAAAAAATCAGCCAAATTGCACCAAATGCTGCATAAATCGGAAACGTAAAAAGGTTCCAATGCAGAAGGTAAAGAGATAAAACTGAAAAAACAGAGATTTGGAAGAACAGCAAAGAAAATAAAAAACATACCTCATCGTGTCCAGCAAGGTTAATCTTTTCCTTCTTGAAGACATCTGTCTTGAAATCAAGAGAAGCAGGGAGGTTTATGGTCGGAACCGAAACCATTTGAGCTCCGAGAGCGCCGAAACCGCTGAAATATCGTTTAACTCGGAGAGACTTCGAGTTAAGCTTGAAAGACGAAGGTAAGAATTTGAGATTGGAGGCAACCGAGCTTTTAACGACAGGAACGGTCTTGGAAGGAGTTGAGATAGGAGTTACGTATGAGCTTGTAGCCGCCATTAATGGTGTGGAAGAAGCTCGAGTCGGCAGCAATAAGCTAGGTTGTGAGAAAGGATTTTATACCTGCGCGCACAGGGCGTACGCTAACATGCACCGGGAATCCCATGACGCCTACCGTCCATTTTTTCTTGAAAACTACACATAAATCGCATTCAAAACAATTAATTGCTCTTAAATATATTGACAATCGAGCTTAGAATAAACTCTTAATATTAAAGCAATAGTGAATAGCCCATAGACGAAAAGGAAAAAAAAAAGGGTAATTATTTTAAAATTTTATTCAAAATAATTGATTATTCTCAAATTAATTGATAACTGAGTTTAATAGAATAATAATATAAATATATTATCATTTATACATAGTGTTAATGGACCTAAATGTGTTTTCATTTATACATGGTGTCAATGTGTTGTCATTTACACTCTAGCCAAATCATAAGCTCAATTATCAGTGCATATAGAAGTAATTAATTATCTTCAACAAGACTTTAAAGTAATTCTCCTCTTTTTCTTTTATCCTACAGACTATTCATTATTGTCTTAACATCATAAATTATCTATGCATAGTGTCATAGGCATAAACATGCTATATGCTTGAATGTTTGTATAATATACGTCTATATATAATACGAGTCTTGACAAATCTTAAAATTAGTTATACTTTAATTCTATGAACCTTAAATATTAACTATCCGCACTTGGCCAGAAATATATTGACCATATATGGATATCTCTTGATGAATAAAATCCCTTATTATTAACATGTTAGTGTAATTGATAAAGATTTGACCTATAACTCATAAAGTCATGTGTTAAAATTTTGTTGTCAATGTGAGGACATTGTTCATAGGTGTAAAGTTGCCCTTATTAATCCTTTACTTAATCACAATCACTAGGGCAATCATGAGATTGACCAAAAAGGATTGTCATGCCATTCGAAAAACAACATGGTTTTAAAAACATTTAGAATAATATAAATGGGATTCTGAGTTTTATAACTTAAAGGCCACACAATAATAATTTTTCATAAATCAAAATCAAAGTAAAGACAAGTGTGGAAGCATGGAATACTGTTTTGTATTCAAGACATTTGCATTTAAGTGAAAAATAGCATTTCTAAACACAAGCTGGGGGACACAACATAGCATCTCCTTCCTGTAGGTGGCACTGATGCTATCAATTTGACAACATCTGAGGCAAATTTTTAAAGTTTCAAATTTCTTCTTTTGATGTCTGATTAAGGTAATTTAGGTATTTATATAAAACTTTTTTCACGTATTAGCCAGTAGCATAAGTTATACGCCCAAATAAGTTTACATAAAGGAATTTCATACCAAAATACATTTTCACAACTATTTCACAATAAATGTGTCCAAAATCTAACACATATGTCAAAGGCTACATCTAATACCTATATCACACTCAATGAACCAAGAACTACCCTATAGCACGCCACAATCATGATATAATACACATATTTTATTTTCAACCATCAACTCTTTAAAGTCAAAAACAAAAAATAGAGGTTTAGCATTGCATATAGTCTAAATATTTAAATATTATAACATAATGATTATTCAAATACTAGCATTAGTATTTTTGACCATACAAGAATAGCTCATGCTTATATAATAACTCTAAAATTCACAATACAATAACTCAATAATGCAAATCATATAATGCAAGTATAAATCAAGATATGGCCATAGTTGGTAATTATCATCACAATTACACATAAATCAAAATAGGAATGGAGGCTTTACAGTGGGAATATAAAAATCCCTAAGTCTCAATAACTTTCCATTTCTCTACATCCAAACTAAAGCTTGTAAAATATTAAGAAAAAGAGGTGAGTATAACTATTCAATAATCAATGTACATTTATACTATGCAAGTGCATGTTAATTGATATTAGAACATGTATGGAATGTATAAAACTCAACCACATACAACTCATATCAAAATATCATAAGAAATCACAATTCTTGTAATGTTATTAACATACTTAGTGTCATAATATTATCAATCGTGTAACAACAATAATATCAAACAAATAAAGCTTGTCACAAATTTAACAACCACGTGATTATAATGTTATGCATGATTAACACCCCTATTATATTCTCTCAATACCTTTAAATGGAACTATAAGCTAATAAATCAAATAGGGTGAATGGACTACACAAACTCACCAACTATAAAGAGTAAATTTGGTTAAAAATCACTACATTCACTCTCGGATCACAATTTTTCCTATTTTTGAATCCTTGGGGTGTCGTGAATCCTAAGCTAATCTCCTCAACAAAAGGTGAATACAGCCGGGCTTAAGTCCCTCAATAAACAATAGGATAAGGGTTAGCTTTTAAATATCAAAAGATGGTCGTTCTACATGGATTTACCTACTCCTCTCTCTAAACGGACTCTTACCAATATGATCATACAACGAATCAAGCTCACAAATATGGCATGTTCAGTTTACAATAATATGCCCAACTAATAGTACAATCATTCACCATGCCATGAGCATTTAAACATTACCTCACAATTTGAATTATCATCTCATCACATATATCCACAAACCATCACATAACACTTACATTGGGTATATATCTTGACCTCAAAAAACGTTAACACCTCAAATATGATTTCTACCGTCATGGCATCATGTAGAATCAATAACTCACGTTATCCTCCTCTATATCAAAATCACATTTGTTTATTTATTTGAATAACAAATGAAAATAATTACTCTTTCATGTTTTCTCACTTCCCAAACATGTAATGCATAACAATTATCATACCATTTAAATTTCATGTTAAAAATACATTTATTTAGAATCATGAATTAATTAATACATAAATATTCAAAATAGATTTTTTCCAATTACTTCAAACTTTTGAGTGGTTAAAGGTTTACCCATCAAACAAATGCTTCCAAAACTTGATCTCGAGATGAATTAGTGAATAGGATGATTAATCCACAATTAATCATATCTACAATCATTAATATCACTATTTATACTAACATAGCTTCCTAGTTTAACACTTTAAATATTCAAAGTCTTTATCTCTTGTATTTAAGCTTACTTGTTGGTTTTATTAACTCTCCTTAGCTCACATTAATTCTATTATATACTTAGCTCACTATTAATAGCATTTAAACCTTCTCAGCCACCTTATTAATATCATTTTTCAAACATGATCACTCCTTAACCATAAAAAAATGTGCACAGCCTAAATCTTAGGTTTAAATAACTTTTAATAACTCTATTTAATTTAATGGATTTGAACCCATAGCTTTCGTGGATCAAAAATTACTTCCCAAACATAAATGTTAAGTCAAAATATCTTAAAAAAGAAGAAGGGAGGGAGGGAGGAGCTCAGGAAACCTACCTCAAGTGATTGAAGGCTTCAAAATGCTCTTAACTCATTAGAACTCTAAGCCTCAACAGAGCAAAGATTCGTGCTTTTTTGTTTTCTCTCCTAACTCTTTCATTTTTTTGCACATTATGATGCTCCGATTAAACTAAATTTCAAACCATGCATAGCATGTGGTACAGAGACCCCTTCCTTATGCTTTTAGGCTAATGAGCTATAGCGGATGCTACACATGTTGCAGCATCTAGTACAAAGCCACATTTCCTTATTTTATCTCCCTTTTTGAGATCCAAGTGGCCTAACTCCACTCTGAACTTGATCATATGGCTAAAATGACAACCCAATCACTTAATTAGCCCTCTCTAACCACATTACATTAATTTATTTCACTATCCTCATTTAGACAAATGAATCAAGATTAAATTTTTAGAATGTTATGATGAGTGATCTATAAATATTTTTGTAAATATTTTTTGAACTTAAAGACATACTCTGACTTTGATAAGCCCTTAAGACCCAACCAACTTAATGGCAGAAAAAGAGATAACTAGGGCAAGAATATGAGCTAGGCTTAACTTGCCTTACATTTAAACCTATTTTTATAAGGATTAGGACTTAAAAAATTAAAAATTTTTAGAATAATCGACCTTTAAACCCAAACATATTAGGCACTATAAAAATAGGCTTGGACTGCTCATCTAGACCTTTTTTCGTCCACCTTTAAAAAACTATTTTCAATTTTAAAATTAAAGTTAGCTTTAAAATATATGTTTATATTTTAAAATTATGGTTTATATTATTTTTTTAGTGATATAGTTTATAATTTATACTTTAGAGTATTATAATGTAAAAATTAAATTTAAAAAATTAAAAAACTAAAAAAATAATAAGAAAAGGGCTTACAGGCGATCCCTGGACCCTTTGAATAAAGATCATGATTAATAAAACCATCAATTTAAGAAAAACTAGGCTCATGGGCTAGGCTTGCCTATTTCATAATTTTAGGGTAGAGTTGTGAATAAGGACTAGGTCTAAAAGTTCTATTTAAATAAGGATCTGAGCTTGGAAAACACAGGGTTTTTAGGATAATTAGGCTTTTGGCTTCAACCTTGATAAGCCTGAAAAAAAAGGATTCAGGCAACTCTCTAAGTCAGGTTCTATTTTTTTCCTTTTAACTTGGACCACATCATTTGGTAAATGAGAAAAAACCTTAAGCATTTGATTGTTTCAAGTTCTTTAGCTCTCTTTGTCCCTCGACTCAACCGCTCCCTCTTATCAGTCTACTCACCCTTTGGCTCTCTCCATCTCTTGACTCACCTCTCCCTCTCATCTGATGACACAGCGTCTCTCGATTTGATGTCTCTCTTTCAGTGTTCTATTACTTTTTGGCTTTTTTGGCTCTCTTACTCTGAGGTAATTCCTTTTTTAGCAAAAACCTTTTTTTAGGCTATGGATGTCGATGTTTCAATTTAATGCTCGCTTTTAAAATTTCAATTTGATTTGAAAATTTTGATCTCTCATCTTATTCTATAAGGATTATATTGATATGTCTCATTTATTTTGTCTCTAAAATTTTATTGTGAATTATGATGGCATCAACTAACATGTATTTAGGTTTTTAAATATTTTATTTATTTTGTAGATGATGTGAAACCTTAATTTACTTT